GTGACCTGAGGGAGCCACATGGAGCAGAGACGTGTGAAGTAATTGCACTTTCTTCTTCTTGGTCTTGGTCTTGGACTGGTTGAAACAGTTGTGGGTGAGGGCTCTTCCTGGTTGTGCAAAAGGTTACGACATAGCACTACAAGCTAGCCGCAGCCACTTCAGTGTGAGTTTGATACCTGGCCCTGGAGGTGACCCACTTAGCACAGCAAGTGGGTCACCTGCTGCTCCCCTCAGCAGTGTACTTCGTTGACCTGCCTGTTCTGCTCCCCACTCTGTCTCTGGTGAATCCTCTCATCACCCCTGCACCTCTGGCCTGTACCCTAGTTCTGTATGCATAAATAAATCTTAAATAATAAATAAATCTTAAAAAGAAGAAGAAGGAGGAGGAGGAGGAGGAAGAGAGGAGGAGAGGAGGAGGAGGAGGAGGAGGAGGAGGAGGAGGAGGAGGAGGAGGAGGAGGAGAAAAGAAAGAAACAGATATGGGTGAGAGACCCGTGGTGAGGTTGACTATGGCAGTGTTTATATTGATTTTGATTTTGCTCTTTTCCTCCCAGACTTGTCTGGCCACTGCTGACCCTTTTCTATGGGTCCCTGCCAGAAGGTGTCTTAGACTTGTGACAGGCTTTCAGGCCTTGCTGTGGGCCAATCCCTTTTGGGTGGACTTTCACCCATGAGGAGATGGGTGACTTTGGGTGTTTGATTTCGAAACTATATTCTTTGTCTTTTCTGTATCTCACACTCATTGTATTAAAGTTCCTTTCCATTAACGGTCTTTTATGTTTTGTTTTGATGTGGCGAATGGCAGAACGTATTTAGAGAAGGAAGGTTTGGGGGTTCAGGGGTGCCCCTCTCTCCCTGTCCTGTAATAATACCTCATGATGCATAGCCTTCCTGGGGTGATCAAGCTTCTTTAAACTCTTGGTTGATTTGAAAGGCACCTTGTAAGGTTTGGCTCCTATGATTGATTGACTGGGCAGTTCTGACCTTGTACCGAAATGCCCACAGGTAACAAAAGAACAAGCCGTTTAGGACTAGCAGACCCACACAGAACTAGCCTTGGGGCCCAGCAGCCAGTGGCAGAGCAGGACCACAAGCAGCACTGCCATGGCAGGCCCTGGCAGCAGTGGAGTCAGCTCTGCCAAAGGGCATGGATGTGGTAGGGCCAGCAGAAGAAATGGAAAGACCTGGTCCCTGTTGACTGTGGTTCTTGGAACAAAGTTAAAGGAACTTTTGTCAGAATGACTGTGCCTGGACAGTGTGGGATTGCTCATCCCTTGGACAGCAGAGACCAGCAGGACGGACACTGAGAGGCATACTGCACTGAATAGGAAGAGGGAGGAAAGAGGAGCCCAGGGGCTGTGGTCTGGAACAGTGTAGACCAGTAGCAGTATTGTTGGTTCAGCCAGGGGCACTGGGAAGGGGGAACAGAGGTTGTGTAGAGGTACACACCCTTGCAGGTGGTGACAGCCTTGTGGAGGAGCTTAGGTCCTCTACAATGGATGGTTCCTTGGCAATGTTCTCAGTGAAATGGGACTTAATTTGGACTCCAAAAATGGTGGCTTTATGGTATGTGGTTTATATCCTGAAGGCTTTTTTTTTTTTTTAAACTCTGATGTCTTCTACTTTATAGTGCTTTTTGGAGAATTGAATGAAGACATATGAGATCTTTTACAAAATTAGTACCCAAATATTTGGTAAATTCCACCTGCTTAAAGTGGAGGAGTTCCAGTGTGGAAGATGGCTTTAAGGCCTGGTCCTTTTGCACCCATATATATTGAATAAAACTGTAGCCTGTTTTCTGGGAAAGTTGGACCACATGGACTTTGCTCTCTGCTTTTCCTTTCTGGACACAGAATTATTTCTTCTCATACACCTGGGCAGATAGACTTCCATTCACTAGTAAGTGTTAGCTATCTCCTTCCTCCCAGAGGAAGGCTTGAGGCACACCTCCAACTTGAAAGATAAAGTGCTGAGCTGAATAACATTTCAAGACAATCTGTAACACCAGCTGTAACTGATCCCATCCTGCCAGTGTTTTTCTTGGGTATTCTGACACTCAAGGTTAAATGGATAATGGAGCCAATTAGCCCTGAACCATCCAGACACTGATTAGGTTTCAGATATATTCAGGATTTACAAGGCTGAGGTAATTTTCTGAAAATTCCAAAGAACATAGATGCTGAGCCCAGAAGCTGGTTTTGTGACCAAGGTGCAATTCAGGCCTGTTAGGTATTTGTGCCTCCCCCAGGTGAGCTGGGGAAGCAGCGGGACTGGAAACCATTTCCTCCTCCATGGCAACTTGCATAATGCTACAAAATGCATTACTTAAGAACATAGCTGCCACATTCTAATTTGAAACATGATTTTTAAATAATGGGAAAAATTAACAATCTTAGTTTAAATACAAAGTATCTTATGTCACACTTATTCTAATGGAAAATTAACAAAAATGTGTGAGGACAGAAATATTCCATGTCAGAAAGTATTTATCCAGGTAATATTTATCACTATCCTCTGTATCATCAAGATCATACTCTGTGTTAGGCTCCTGTAACCCACAAATGGGTAAAACACAGTTAAAAAATTCAAAAGGAGCTTCATTCTTTTGGCCAAAATACATAAATACATACATACATAAATAAGTAAATAAGTAAGCTTATACCATGGTGTGTAAAAGGAAAGCAAGTATTGTTATATGGTTTGTGGAACACCTGATTCTGGGGTGTCATGGGGGCATTGAGGAGGTAATAAGATACTCCTGGACTGACTCCTAAAGACACAATAAAGAAGAAAGGTGTTAGGCCCTCCCTGGTGGCGCAATGGGTTAGGGTGTAACACTACAAGCTAACTGCAGCCTCTTCAGTGTGAGTTCAATCCCTGACCCAGGAGGTGACCCAAATGGCAAAACAGACCTCTCCTGTCTCACCTGCTGCTCCCCTCAGCAGGTATTTCGTCCATCTGCCTGTTTTGCTCCCCGCTTTGTCTCTGGTGAATCCTCTCACTGCCCCTGCACCTCTGCCCTATACCCCAGCTCGGTATGCACAAATAAATGAATGCTTAAAAAAAAAAAAAGGCAGGTGTTAAGGAGCAGCTCCTCAGACAGTACAATAAAATTTGTGGATTTATAGACATGTAAGATAGTATAGCTGGAACCAATTATTGAGAAGGGAGTGGTAAAAATGAATTCATTTATGATGGAGAGGTAAGAGATAGGAATGCACATTTGGCAAATGTATGTACCACCTCTAAATCAGCCCTATTCCCCTGAGAATAACCAGAAGACTAGTCAAGGAATAGTTGGGTAGAGGAAAGGCCTCATTGGGGCCCCTCAGAGAGGCCTGATGTGTGGCCTGCAAAGAGCAGAATTTTCCAAGAGCTTCCAGCTCTGTCCTTGATAATCAGGATTGAGCTCCTGGCCACAGCTAAAGAGAACAAAGCAAATATATTCTATACACCCACTCTCTCTTGATCCCCCAAACATTCAAGATTATTTTTAATAACAACAAAATGATTTATTTGCAGCATAGCCTTGTCCCCATCACTTTGATACAGCATAGGAACAGGAGACAGTCGCACTGCAAGCAGCATCTAGGTCAAGGAAGAGCCACATGCCTCCTGACACAGGCAGCCCATATCCCTCATAAGGGATATATCCCATGTCCAGAGCCATACTGAACGTTCACAGGGAAGCCCAGAATGAGGTCAGCCACAGACCTCAGCCCACTTCATTCTTCTCCCCACACTTCTTCAAGCTTCCCAACTAAAAGCTCCCACCACCTGCATCCCCAACCAGGTCAACTGCCAGCCTCCCTCTGAGCCACCAGGGAACTTTCTTTGTGGGGCAATTAACAGGGTCTTAAGTGTTACATGAAACAAGAAAACACCTTGTGAAATTTATTGTTCTGTAGAAAGCTCAAAATGACTCCAAGTATATAATCCTAGTCAGCAGCAACAGCTATTCTCTTCACTGAAGATTCAGGTGGGTTTGAAGTAGTGTCATCTCAGACACCTTGAAACTCAAGTTTCTCTGGCAGCCTATTAAAGGCTTCTGTTTTCATCCTAGAATAGGCAGAAATCCAGGTACCTCTCCCAGGTTCAGAGGTTGAGAGGAAAACTCTGACAGCTCAGAAAAAAATTTTTTTCTTTCTTCCTATTCCACAAAAGATCTGTGGGAAATTATTGCCTAAAAGTTCGCAAACCCACCTAAGAAAAGATAGTCTTAATCTTAGCAGATGGTCCAAACTCAGAAGCAGACTTACAGATCAGAAACTAGTTTCTAGGACATAAGAGGCAAGGAAGAATATAAAATCTCAGTTGTTTTCTTTACCCCAAATCTTGTAATAGCCTTAGAAGTTGGACTCTAGGAAGAGTCCTCCCTTTCCCCATACTTGGAGGGACAATTTCTAAAGTAGCATCATGGACTGGGGGCTTTTGACAAAGTCACAGTCAAAAAGACAATAGAGGGCCATCTGCAAAAGAAATGTCTCAACCAAGCAGCAAGAGCACTGGCTCATGGCTGACCTGTGCTGGTATTTGGTGCCAGTAGAGATTCTTTGTTTGCTTGTTTAAAAATTTATTTATGCATATAAGAACTGGGGTATAGGCCACATGTCTGGTGGGCGAGAGGATTAACCAGAGCCAGAGTGGGGAACAGAAAAGGTGGATTGATTGAAATACACTGCTGAGGGGAGCAGTGGGCAAGACAGGAGAGGTCTGTTGCACTACGTGGGCCAGCTCCCTGGCTGGGGATCCAGCTTATGCTCCGTGGCTGAGGATTGCTTCATAGTGCAGCACTTTAACCCCTTGCTCCACCAGGGAGGCCCTGCCAGAAGAGTTTTTATAACATGGTGGGAGAGGCTTATATAACAACACTTAAGGGATGAAGTAGAAATCATGGAATGGGTAAAAGAACACTTGCAGCTTTAATGTTGATATTTATTTCTTTATTTTCAACCCTTCTCCAATTGCTTGGGAAATGTGACCTCACTACATCTTTGCTGTCACCTACAAGTGCAGGATTGGGCGATCATGTCCTCATACTCCTTGTACAAGATACTCCCGTTTGCCTCAATCAGAAGGATGCTAATGGGAACATATTTATAAGGGACACAGGATGGCTGGGGGACGCTCTGGTCTACCAGCTCATTGACAAGGTTCTGGATGATGGCATGATTGGGAGAATTGAGACCATAGCGGAGCACTCGAGGGCAGGTCCCCTTACAGTAGTTTGGGGTATAGAGATGAGGTGCGATGATCCAGTGATCCCATCCCAGTTGGTGGAAGCTGACTTGGAAAGGGTGGAGGGAACACTGGCTACCTTCAGGCCTCTCATGCTCCCGGGAGGAGCCAGGAACCTCAGGCCTGAGACTGCCTGCTTGCCGGGCCCTCCGCAAGAGAAGAGAACCCCTTTCCATGAATTCCTGCATGCCCCTGGGGAGGATCTTGGCCTTGTGAACACTTTTATGAGTGTCGTTGAAGTAGAGGAGCAAGAAGGCAATGTCCAAGGAGGCGGTGCCACGCCAGTGGTGTGCAACAACTTCAGTACCCTTTTGCTGCTGACACACGAACTGGACCTGGAGAATCCTACGTCCCTTGTGCTTCCAGAGCCTTTGTTGAATATGCTGTGTGATATCCATCTCCGCCCAAGCTTTGGAAAGCAGGGAAGGCTTTGAGGAAGCTCTTCCTGAAGTAGAAAAGTGGTTAGTTGGGTCTCTCCGGCCCCAGGGCTGCACATGGCAGGAGAGTTGCTGCTGAGTTAGGTGCAGTTGGTGACGGTAAACCACTGTGGCTCGGACTAGCTGGTACACCACCCGGTTGGGTCTCAGAGCAAAGCCCAGGGTCTGTATATGCCAGGGGCCTGTATAACAGGGAGCAAGAGAAGAGTATTAGCTTCTTGCCTCATAGCCTGCATTTCTCTCACATAATGACTCAGTACAAACTGAGAACTGTAAGCCGGTCTACAATTAACTCAAGATCATAACAACAGCCAGCATGTATGGAGAACTGACTGGTATATTAAGTCCTTTGCATGCATTAGGTATGCATAATAGCCTTATGAGATAGCTATTCCCAACTTGCAGACAAGGGCATTGAGACACAGAGAAGCTATGCTAGAGGGCACATAGCTAGTGGATAGCACAATCAAGATCTGAATCCGAGTCTGTGCACCTCAAGAAGAAAAAGTGTGTCTCTTCTTTAGATCGCTCATAGCACTAACCTTAATGTAGAATTAGTTGTGTATATACTGTGTGCATGGGAGAGATTCAATCATTATTATTAGTTGACTATTAAGGGTCACCAATTAAGAGAATTATTGAGATAAATGATTTAGAATGCATCCACCAACACAAATGGCCAGAGGAACAAAAGCAAAAACAGACAAGTGAGACTACACCTAATGAAAAAGCTTTTATTGTTCAAAAGAAACCACCTTAACAAACAACACAGCAACCTACAGAATGGCAGATGATATTTGAGAATTACACGTACCACATAGTATTGAAAAATATATAAACTCCTCATATAACTCAACAATTAACAAAAACACCAAGTAACCCAGTTCAGAAAATGGATACAGGATCTGAACAGAAACTTCTTTAAGGAAGGCAGACAGATAACCAGTAGGCACATGAAGAGATGTTCATCATCTCTTATTATTAGGGAAATGCATAATCTCGTTTTAGGGCAATCAAAATAGGAATGAGCTATCACCTCACACCTGTAATACTATGCACAGTCTGGCTATGACAAATTCACAAGAGGCAAGATCTCACGAGAATATAGAGCAAGGGGAAACATTCAAGTAGTGGTTACCAGAAAAGAAGGAAGTTGAGTATGGGTCATTCAGGTAAAAGAGATCAATTGTTTAGTGAAGGATAGAATTGTGCTTTTAGTGAAGATATAATTTAATATATGTAGATGTTGATGTATAATGAGGCACACCTGAAACTTGTATAATGTTAAAATGCAATGTTATGTTATAAAAAATGTTTTAAGAATTTTTGAAAGAAACATGTCCTCATATCACATCTTTATCAGATGCCATTTGGGGGCACCAGTCCAGTATTGGAGAATATGGGCTGCTCTTATTTTAAATATTAAGACCGATGGGCCACAAAGTAATTTTGTCTGTCCCCCTCTATTGGGTGCAGGTCTGTCATTTTTGCTCTACTTTAACAATCACTTCTTGGGCATATTTTCTTCTTAGGCTTTTTTCCCCTTTCCCCCGCAATTAATCTCTTCTCCAGCCTGGGAATGATTATTCATTTACCCCGTTCATTGCGCCATCATTCCCCTATGCCATTTTCAACAAGCCTTTGGTGACATAAATATTATGTTTGCTAAGAATTCTACTAGAAGTTGCCTTTTGGTGATTAAGAGTTCTAATCCAAACTGTAATGCTGACACCCAGTGGTTAAAGGGTTAGAAGGCTGGGCTGCAGAGCTGTGGACTGTGCCCCATCTGGCAAATGTCGAAGATCACAAAGAAGGTAAAAGGAAAATATTTGATGGTTTCACTTATAGCAGGAACATAGGGAAACCATGCAAGGGATCAGAGGGAAAAAAAGACAAAATGAACAGGTAAATTAAGTAGGAGACATTCAGCAGGGAGGAGAAGGGGAAGGAAAAGAATCAAAACTGGAAGAAAGAGCACAGTAGACTGTGGTGCTGTTCACAGGTGTCTTGGTGGTGGGACTTTTATGGAAATTACCCCCAAGAGGAGAATGAACAATGATGTAAAAATATATAAATACTGAAATAAAGATTATGGCATGATTTCTAAAAGAGACAAACAAAACTAAGTGTTGTGTGTGTGTGTGTGTGTGTGTAAAACTCTTCCTTAGTTCTCATACATCTCATTACTAAATATTTCTGCATTAATTTATTACTCATTCATCTAATCATCCTTCTCCACAGAACCACAAGCCTGGAATTCTTCAGTAGGCTTGCAGAATCCAACACAGGAGATTTTCAGTGTCTTGATTCATCAGGACAAATTTTTTAAAGCTTAGGTTCCAAGTCATGCTTAATATACCCTAAGTTTGGGCCACTGGGCATCACCCACACAAGACCTATGACAGGCTGTTTGCTTTCACTGTTTGCTTTCTCAAGTTACGCCTCACTCCAGTCCTACAAGAATCTTTCCAAAAGGCCCACCCGTACACCTACCCCACCCTGTGTGAAAAGGAACCCAACCCAACCTTTAGCAGGGAGCAGGCCGTCTGGTAAGGAACTGCCCTTTCCTCTCAGACCTTGACATAACATTATTTCCTGGAGCAGGGCGGGGTTGCTAAAGATTGGAGCCAGGAAGGGTCTGCTCAGAACTTTTCAAGGAAACGGCTGACTCACACGTCCTGTGTGCTTGAACCTGGCATAGCTCTCCTGGCAAGTTCAATTCCGCTGGATCATCTCCTGATGGAAAGACCAGGGCCTGCTCTCTTATCATCTGCTTCTAGATCCTTCTGAGTCCCTAAATACCAGTATGTCCCCCAGTCAGACTAGGAACTGGCCTAATTCTAATCACCCTCTGCGCAAACAAACTTGATTTGTGCCACTTGCGCTTGCTGCTATACTTAGAGACAAAGTCCGGATCTTTCTGGCCGCCTACACATCCCTCCGCTTCATCGATCACATATCCTGACACCTTCCACGATGTTCATGAGGCTCCAGTCACAGGGATTTCCCTTCTGCTCAAGTCAGTGGCGCTTGTTTCGGCCATCTAGACTTCTGCACACATTGTTCTCCCTGCTTAAATTAGACTTCTCCCTACTGTTTTCAGGCCTGACTTTGTATTTTACAGACCTCAGTTCAAATGTTACCTCTTCAAAGATGCCTCCTTTGACAAACACATCTAAAAAGAGGATTTCTGTGATATTCTCTGTGAAAACAACCTGATTTTCACTTTCATAGTGCTCACAATTTGCAATCATTTGGGTTTACTTGTCTCACCCATGACAACATAAGCCTGTCCTGATCACATCTGCATGCAGGCACCTAGAACAATGCCTGGCACTGATTAGGTGCTGACCAAATATTTGTCCAGTGAAACCTCCACCCACACCAATCTATTTACCCTTACTTGGATTCACTTCTCTCTTCTCTGCCTTTATGCTGCATAAGTTCCAGCTCAAATATTACCTCCTAATCGAGCCTTCCAACTGTCTCCCTGCTTCCATTTCCTGACCCATTACTTCGTGGAGTCCTAGGAGCTCTACTGCTTCTTTTTTTATAAAAAAAATATTTATTTATGCATACAAAACTGGGGTACAGGCAAGAAGTGCAGGGGGGGGCTGGTTGAGAGGATTCACCAGAGGCAGAGTGGGGAACTGAACAGCAGATCAATGCAGTACACTGCTGAGGGGTGCAGCAGGTGGGTCAGGAGAGGTCTGCCACACCATGCAGGTCACCTCCCTGGCCAGGAATCAAACTCGAGGTGCAGTGGCTATGTACTATGCTTTAAGCGGTTGCGCCACCGGGGAGAGCCCAGATATCTACTGCTTCTATTTTTCAAAGCATTTGTCATGCTGTAACATTATATGTGATGGCCACCCAGCCTACTACAGTGGGAATGTCTAAAGTTTAGGGAAGCAGTTATTTACCTCTTATACCCAACACAAATAGAGTTTCTGGTGGTCTATTGAAACTTATAAGGAGACAGTAGAGCAGGACAGCAGCCTGAAAGCTTGGCTTTGACAGCCAGCTCTACTAATTAATACCTGTGTGTTACAGTAAGTTATGGTGAACCTTAGTTTCTTCACCTGAGTGGGTGTGATAGTGGTAAGGATTAAGGAAGAGAATGTTTACAAAGTATTTTGTCCAATGCCTGGCACCCAGTAGCCTCACAGTAAGAGCTTATCTGGAGGAATATTTGTTGTTTAAACCAGAAGGAATATTTGTTATTTAAACTGCAATTGTCTCCAAAATTAGCTAAGACCCAAGACTCAGTTCACCAGTTACCCAAGATTTCCTTAAAGTTGACAGCTATTTCATTCCCTAAAGAGACTCTCTACTTCAAGACCCACTGCTTTCCTGGAAAAGTGCCTAATGAAGATGTCTAAAACAGAATCAAACATAATGGGAACAAAGAAAACTTCAAAGTATGTTTGGCACCACACATCCAAAGTAGCAACATGCTTGAAATAGAAACACTGCATAAATAAGGATGTTGGGATGCTACAGTTCAACACTTAAACAGATTTAAGGACAGACTTCAGAATCAGACAGACTTGAGCTCAAATACTGTCACCCACTGTCTGTGTAATCTTTGCAAGTTATTTAACCTCTACAGGTTTAGTTCCTTTATCTTTAAATATTATGCTAATTGGAGTACTCTCCAAGATGGACTCCTTGCATCTAGCCAGCTCTTTCTGCCTGCTGGTGTCTCTGCAAGCCTTTCTTTCTTCCTTTTTTAAATAATGAACCTACCCTTTTGGAGATAAAAAAAATAAAGATTATGCCAATTGTTCTATGATAACCAATACATTTCCCCAACTCAGCATCCTGTCCTCTTTGCCTTCTAAGAATAAAATAACACAAAACAACCCTCCACAATGATCTGGATATTTCCCAGTTAACTGTGTTCAGTGATGTAACCAGTAATAAGGTTTTCTTTGAAAGGCAGGAGCTACTGACACACCACTCAATTGTCCTCAGGCAGGCCCCAAGGCCAAGGTTTGAAGTTGGGACGCTAAACGGAAGTAGCCTTGAAACCTGCTGCCCCCAAGCTTGCCATCCTTTGAAAACCAAGTTTGAGAAAGCAGCCCACCTCCCAGGTAATAAAGCTTGACGGTGAACTCACAGAACCCCTCTCCTCTCCCCTCCAGTGAATCACAGCAGGGTACAATAACTCACCTCTGAGGGGCTTTGCCACGTTGGCCAAGGGCCTCACCAGCCTCACCATGGTCGCCCCGATGGTGCGGTTCTCCCTAGGGTGCCCAAGCTTGTCAGCTGAACGCTGGTACAACTCCAGCATGTACCTCAAAGGGTGCCCTAGGACCCGTGGCTTGCTCTGCGGCTTGCCAGGGATTTCTTCGAGCAATTCCCAAATCAAGGGCAAGGTGGGCGCTTCAGCCAGGCGGGCAGTGGAAAGCTGCCCTTCCTTGGTCATTTGTCCACTGTGTTCCATAAAAAGCACCAGGCCCCAGATAATGAGGATTCTAAGGACGTGGAGGAGGACCATCCTGAATGGTTTGGCGTTCAGCAATACACGCCAGCCCACGTCCAAAGGACGCACCCTGATCCTTTCCTTTCACACCGATAACCACATCCTGGCCCCACAGTTGCAAAGGTAGGGCAAGAAAGCAGCACAAACAAAACCGAAAGGCAGGCAGGCTGATGCTGTGTCGCTTCTTCTGGAGGAGCTCCTGGATTTAGGGAGGTCTCCTAACTTGGCCTCTTTGCATCAAAACAAACAGAAACAGCAGCAGGAATAAGGCAGTCTGTCCATCCTGCTCTCCAGGGCTAGCAACAACAGAGTACTTATTTGGAGGAGGCTGAAATAACATCAGAGGAGAGATCCATTCCAGGACCCTCTCCCTCACCTTATCCACTAGGATGTAAAGAAAAAAACCAGTCCTAGCTTGCCCTGCTCCCCAGCTTTAAAGGTTTCTCTCAATCACTTCTTAAAGGGCCAGCGGCTTCCTGAGTGCATCGCACGTCCATACCAGTGCCTCAAAGCAGCAGTTCCCAAAAGGTGGTCTGCTAATATGATGTCTTGCAGTGTAACTGTGCAGTGGTTGTGAATACTGGGTCTCAATCAAACCGTGAAGCCTCTGGGGAGAAACCGCAACAACATGAGTCTTCAGAAAGGCTACCAGAAGTCCTGCAAGCATGAAAATGTGGAAACCACTGTGTGAGTTGGCTGCTAGGGCTTGAAGAAGTAGACTTAACAGTGGTTCTCAATTTTGGCCATACATTGGCATCACCTGCAGAGCTTAACCTCTCTGGATGCCTGGGTACCATCCCCAGAGTTTCTGATGTAGTAGGTCTGGGGTGTTACCAGGACACCAGAGCTGTTTCTTTTTTTAAGTTCTGCAGGTGATTTCAATATGCACCCACATTTGAGAACTCTCACTTAGAATTTTCTGGTTTAGGATTTAGCATTTTCTGGCTTACTAGAGGATTTTCTGAATTACCTAGAGGGTGTTGAGATTGATATGAGCTTCATCAGAGAAGCCTGGGGCGGCAGAGATGAGTCTATGGATGCTGGCTGGGTGCCTGCCTCGTCTGGTTGGTTAATAGGAAGCACCAAGGCTGGGCCGCTTAGTCAAGGGTGCCCTCAACCAGGAGCCTGCAGAAAAATGGCAGAGAAAGCCCTGGTCCTGTCCGAGCACCAGTGGTTTGTTGAAGCTTCATAGAGGAATCTGGTGGAGGTCAAGATGTGGAAATGGAGATGATGAAGCAGACTTGACGTGTGGGAGTCTTTTTACTTCTTATCAGGAACATTTATGGTCAGGAACTTTTGTGGATCAGGTGTGAACTCTAACCAGGCAGACCTGTGCCTGAATTGTGACTGCCTCTTCTCAACTGTAATTTAATCTTACCAAGGCAAATTTCTTCACTTCTTTGAGCCTCAGTCTTCTTGTCTGTATATGGAGATGATCTGTTTTATCTCACAGGGTATGATGAAGATACATGGAAATAATTTGTTAATTGCACAAAATCCAGTTAGACACATGAAAGGTGGTCAAATTCTCAAAGTTATTTCTTCCCTTCCTTTGTTTTTTATTCTAACATTGCATATTCCCTGGTGTGTATTGTAAAATGTAAGGCATGGATTGATGGGTCTCTGGTTCTGAATTCACATTCCAACTCAACTGGGTGAATTTAAACAAGGTTTCTCCCAGCCTGACTTTCCTTTTTTCTTTTAAAAAATTATTTTCTGTTTTGTGTAGTGTAGAAGATCTGGGATACAGACCATAGGGTGGTGAAAGTATTCACCAGAGACAGACTGGGGAACAGAACAGATGGATTGACTGAAATATCCTGCTGAGGGGAGCAGTGGTCCAGACTAGAGGTCTGCTGCGCCATGTGGGTCAGCTGCATCATGTGGGCCAGTTCCCTGGCCAGAAATTGAACTCAGACCAGAGAAATGATAGTGCTGAGATGTAACCCCTAGGCCACCAGGGACACCCACCCTGACTTTCTCAATCTGTACTGCTGTTTTCTTCAGAGGATTTTTGAGTGTGGTACACCCTATTGTATGTGGTACCACATACAATAAATTACCAGTAAGGGATATAAACAGATAATTCATGAGGCAAAAGTGAATGGCTAACACTCAGAAAGATGTCATAGAAATTAAAAAAAAAAGTGATTCAAGCCATGTAGGATATGACTCCACATGGAGTCATTTGATGACAGCATATTAAAACTCTGACACTATTAATTTCAGGTAAGACTGCAGAGCACAGGAAACTCTTGTGCTGCTGGGGAGTGATTTAGCTCCATGTTTTGGAGAGTAATCTGGCGTCATCTCTAGTGAAGTTGAAGATGTGCAATTGTCTTGGCTGTCTCGACCTTATAGCTACTACTCTAGCAATAGTATAGTTCATTTGTGCCTGGATTTTCATCTCTTAACTGAGCCAAACCTTTCAGTAGCTTTTAGCCATTATTGGCTGTGCCTCACAGGAATAAATGCAGTTTACATTACAAACAGTACAATGAGAGGTGCACATATTCACACACACACATCGCTGCTTGAAGCAAACACTTCCTGAAACAACACTTACCGCTTCCAACAGGTTGGGGTGAGTGCTATATCAAAGCGAGTAAGAACATGGATGCAGACTTAGAATACTATGTTTAAATGCCAGCTCTATTGCTTGTTAGTTCAACCTTGGCTAGTTCATTAACATCTCTGTGCCCAGTTCTATCATCTATTAAGAAGAAGCCATAGCCTCTCTCTGCTTCAGCTTTCTCAGATGTAAAGTGGAATGAATCACAAGTTTTCTCTCATAAGAATTTTGTGAGGATTATGTGAGTTAATAAATGTAATATACTCAAAAAGGTACCTGTCACAAAGTCCTCATGACAGGTTGGAGGTTATTACATTTGATGCAAACTGCGCTCTCCTTCTGCTTCTTAAGCTGGTGAGAGCAAGCCAAGAAGCTTCTCTGTGCCATGTACCCATACCACTGCTTCCTCCTCTTACTCCCTCTCTGCCTCCCTGACATTTTCTTTGGCCCTTGACCTCTATCTGTTACCAATTTAAATGTCCCTTCTAGCTGACATGACTAAATGAAAGAATGAGGCTTTGGGACAACTAACAAAGGTTCCTATAAGCGTTTGGGGTATAGTTTTCTTTGATGTTTCAGTGGTGTTGGGTTGGGATTACATCTGTCAAGAACATTTTTCTGCCATCTCTTAGTAGTGAGATTTTGATACAAGATCAAAAGAAGGCAGAAGAGACAACATATAACACTGGAAAGAGCATGATTTCAGTTTGAATTCCTGGTTCTGCCAGTTTTGACTCTTGCTTGACTTGTTGCATTTTAGGTTTCTGAATTGTGAATTGGGGATATGCTTCACCTTCCAGGATTGTGGTAAGATTTTTACGATGTAATGTATGTAAAGTATATAATAATGATAGTAACAATCCTAAATAAATGGTAACTTTTACCACCAGTAGCCTATGACTTTAAAGTTATATAAAGTATACATGGCTGAGAAAAATATGTGCTCATCTTTTTTTCGAACGTGTTCAGCGAAATTTTTATTCCATCCCTCTACCTATCAGAGCTTCACGATTGAATAGGTTGGCTTTCTTATTTTCAAAATAATTCAAATTCTTTTTTCAGAAAAAGATCCAAAACCAACCCCATTCTTATCACCAAAATTGAAAGAAGTTGAGAGGATTATTTCCTAGAATCATATCTCTCCCCTTTCCTTCACTGGGCCTGATGTATGCTACTGTCCCAAATCCCCAGAAGAGGGCACCAATTGTCTTTTGCAGGTTTATGGTTGGAGGGGTGTGTGTGTGGGGTGGGGGGGAGTAAAGGGCGGATTACTGGGGATTGGAACAGCATCTACAAAGGGATTTTAACCAATCCTTCCTGCTTTCAAAAAGCTAACATGTGAAAAATATGTGCATAAATTTAACTAACCTGTTTGATTGTTGACATGACAAAAGGGTTTTTGACACAACAAAATGTGTCATTCCAAGTTACTTTGAGCAGCAGGAACCCTTGGTGCACAGTTAACTCTTCAATCTATAGTGTGCTGGGCGCACTGCTAAAACTCTTGAAGTTGCTGAAGGATAGACTTTTACCCAATTTTGAGGAACATGGCTTTTGTATACAATACACATGTATTTTGATTCATATGCACACTTATAGTTCACATTTTCTTACAGTTGTACTCACTGAACAAAAATATAATCAATGCCTGCTATGTGGTGGTCTTAGGTGATAAAAGAATTTTACACAGTATAGACTTGAAAAGAGAAAACATATAAGTATACATTGTACAAAAAATAAACAATGATATAAAAATAAATAAAGGATGAAAGCCTACAGACTCTGCCTAGTGTCAAATTCCATCTCTACCTATTAACAGATGTGGCAACTTTGGGCAACTTACTTAACTTCTCTGTGCCTCAGTTTCCTCATTTAATAATAAGGATAGAAATAACACTCCTTTAAAAATATTTGTCTATTTTTACATCATTGTTCATTTTTGTATAGTGTATAATTTCTCCTTTCAGTTATTGTCCCCATAAAATTACCACTACTAGGCTACCTGTGAGCCATCACCATGGACTCTTTTTCTCTTCTCTCCCATTTTGATCTTTCTCCTTCCCCCTCCCCTATTGAATGTCTCCAATTTATAGTTTGATTGATAGTTTTGTCCTTTTCACCCCCATCCCTTGTATAATTTCTCTATGTTCCTATAAGTGAAACCAAACAGCTGCAGTGTTAAACAAAATAGTACTGCAATGAATATAGACTTGCAGGTTTCCTTTTAAATTGATGTTTGTGTGCCTTTTGGGTAGATTCCTAGGAGTGGAATTGCTGGTAGGTCCGGTTTTAGTCATTTGAGGATGTGCCACACACCTTTCCATAGTGGTTTTTCCACCAGCAGTGTAAAAGAGTTCCGTTTCCTCCACATCCTCGCCAGCATTTTTTGTTGTTAGTTTTTAAAATGTGGGTCATTCTTACTGGTGTGAGATGATATCTCATT